CAGAAATCAGAACCATGGACAGCCAAATCATATTTAGCTTACGTTGATTGGACTACATTGTTTTTGGTATCTTTTAGGTGTCACTGTATTAGACTAAGCATTGGTGATTAGATGATATGTTGAACTGGTGCTGGAATAGTGGAGGCAGCGCCTGTTTTCTTTGCGACTTGCGTTAACTGTCTGTGGTTCTAAATCAATAGTGGTTTAGTAGTCCGGAAATGTCGGAAACATTAACTTGCTTGACCATGCTAGGTCATGTACAGTGGGGAGAACAAGTATTTGATACACTGCCGATTTTGCAGGTTTTCCTACTTACAAAGCATGTAGAGGTCTGTAATTTTTATCAGAAGTACACTTCAACTGTGAGAGACATAATCTAAAACAAAAATCCAGAAAATCACATTGTATGATTTTTAAGTAATTCATTTGCATTTTATTGCATGACATAAGTATTTGATCACCTACCAACCAGTAAGAATTCCGGCTCTCACAGACCTGTTAGTTTTTCTTTAAGAAGCCCTCCTGTTCTCCACTCATTACCTGTATTAACTGCACCTGTTTGAACTCGTTACCTGTATAAAAGACACCTGTCCACCCACTCAATCAAACAGACTCCAACCTCTCCACAATGGCCTAGACCAGAGAGCTGTGTAAGGACATCAGGGATAAAATTGTAGACCTGCACAAGGCTGGGATGGGCTACAGGACAATAGGCAAGCAGCTTGGTGAGAAGGCAACAACTGTTGGCGCAATTATTAGAAAATGGAAGAAGTTCAAGATGACGGTCAATCACCCTCGGTCTGGGGCTCCATGCAAGATCTCACCTCGTGGGGCATCAATGATCATGAGGAAGGTGAGGGATCAGCCCAGAACTACACGGCAGGACCTGGTCAATGACCTGAAGAGAGCTGGGACCACAGTCTCAAAGAAAACCATTAGTAACACACTACGCCGTCATGGATTAAAATCCTGCAGCGTACGCAAGGTCCCCCTGCTCAAGCCAGCGCATGTCCAGGCCCGGCTGAAGTTTGCCAATGACCATCTGGGTGATCCAGAGGGGGAATGGGAGAAGGTCATGTGGTCTGATGAGACAAAAATATAGCTTTTTGGTCTAAACTCCACTTGCCGTGTTTGGAGGAAGAAGAAGGATGAGTACAACCTCAAGAACACCATCCCAACCATGAAGCATGGAGGTGGAAACATCTTTCTTTGGGGATGCTTTTCTGCAAAGGGGACAGGACGACTGCACCATATTGAGGGGAGGATGGATGGGGCCATGTATCGCGAGATCTTGGCCAACAACCTCCTTCCCTCAGTAAGAGCATTGAAGATGGGTCGTGGCTGGGTCTTCCAGCATGACAATGACCCGAAACACACAGCCAGGGCAACTAAGGAGTGGCTCCATAAGAAGCACCTCAAGGTCCTGGAGTTGCCTAGCCAGTCTCCAGACCTGAACCCAATAGAAAATCTTTGGAGGGAGCTGAAAGTCCGTATTGCCCAGCGACAGCCCCGAAACCTGAAGGATCTGGAGAAGGTCTGTATGGAGGAGTGGGCCAAAATCCCTGCTGCAGTGTGTGCAAACCTGGTCAAGACCTACAGGAAACGTATGATCTCTGTAATTGCAAACAAAGGTTTCTGTAACAAATATTAAGTTCTGCTTTTCTGATGTATCAAATACTTATGTCATGCAATAAAATGCAAATTAATTACTTAAAAATCATACAATGTGATTTTCTGGATTTTTGTTTTAGATTCCGTCTCTCACAGTTGAAGTGTACCTATGATCAAAATTACAGACCTCTACATGCTTTGTAAGTAGGAAAACCTGCAAAATCGGCAGTGTATCAAATACTTGTTCTCCCCACTGTAACTGTTTGTTACATGCAATATGCTTTGTGGACTTAACCGAACAGAGGTTGCTCTCCGGATTTGTGATGAAACAAAGGTGTGGTTGAATTTATTCACTTCTTATTGTCTCGGCCTTAGGCCTAAATATCACAGTCATAAAGCAAATTAACTAACAGGTTATAGAGCAAACAATGCAATTATCACAACACATAGGTTGTAATATGGCTTTTTTTTTCTGGCTTCCACTGTTATTTTTACCCACACACCCCTACTGTGAATGCATGTTTAATTCCGAAATAATAATAATAATAATAATAATAATAATAATCTTGCCTAGGCCTGATTAGGCAACCATTTGGATCAGTAATGGATATTTTCTCTACAGTTTACAAGATATATTAGCAGGACAGTCATAGTGTGTATTTTGTCAGGATGTATCGCCGTTAACAGATTGGCCTACTATTGGAAAATATGGCCTTCTCATGCGCTGTTTGTCGTGGATCATCATTCTCCCAAATCGTCCTATAATTAATGTGTACAGTGGCCACCAATATGCTCACACATGCCCTGTTCGCTCTGCCTGCTCTCCGACCTGCCTCGCGCACCTACATTTAAGAACGCCTCTTTGATTGGTTGTCAATGTTTTATCGTCAGAAGGAGGGGGTGGGAAATCACTCTGAAAGTAATCCAAACAATAGCGCTCGTTATTGTTCTCCACGCTCCTGTTCATTTGAATTAGAACACAATCTTTTGTATCGTTATAGTTACCGTTATAGTCCTTGGTGTGGACGGCCATTTAGAGCTTGCTTAAGGCCCAGTGGATAGGCATTGCTGTTTCTGTCTTGTTCTATATCATTTACATTTTAGTCATTTAGCAGAAGAGCGACTTACAGTTAGTGAATGCATACATTATTTATTTATTTTTTTCCTACCACCTGTGGGAATCGAACCCACAACCCTGGCGTTACAAACGCCATGCTCTATCAACTGAGCTACATCCCTGCCGGCCATTCCCTCCCCTACCCTGGACGACGCTGGGACAATTGCGCGCCGCCCCATGGGTCTCCCGGTCGCGCCGGCTACGACAGAGCCTGGATTCGAACCAGGATCTCTAGTGGCACAGCTAGCACTGCGGTGCAGTGCCTTAGACCACTGCGCCACTTGGGAGACACTATATCAATACGAAAACCTCGATGGAAGGGGTATTTCACTAAAATTACAAACTTACCATATTGTATTGATAACTAGCTTGTCGATCACTGACTTTGGGTGTCAGAGACCAGAAAAATATATCAGTTTACTCATCCAGAACTAAGCTTTAGCAATTTTGCTAAATGTTGTTGAATGGGGATCCGTTGTTTCATCGCCCCCAACGTGCTAGGTCTATTTCCGGTGTTAGACCTGTCGCTCCCCAAGGAGCATTGGCCATCGAAGACTCCTCTTCATCACACTCCGTTGTGGGCCGTCTTCTCAATCTCGTTCATCCCTATTTTTTAGGACAGTTTGCCCGGGTGATTTGAGGTGTTAGCCCTGTAGGCTCGGCCCTAATTGATGTGTTCTCTGTCACGTGGAGCTTCATGGAAAATGGTCCAGGAACAAAGGACAATGCCCAAGGACTAGTCAGCCCTTCCCCCACCAAGGAGCTAAAATGTATCTCTCTGTTATGGTATTCAGAGGACTGACTATTGTAATCGAATAATGCTATAGTATCCATGTTTGGTATCTATGTGAATCTTGTTCACTGAGGATAACTCTGATGCTATCTATATGGATGTATGATCTCTGTGGTTACTTGTATATGTACAGGGTGAACTCTGAATTACTCTATTATTAAAATAGGTTTTATTGCCTTTCAGGAATTCTGTCTTATTTACATTGGTGTCATCCCCCACACAAGCTCTTAGATGCTGTGACACCCTGTGGAGACTGGACCTTGGTGGTCAGGTTACTCTGTAAACTTGGTATCATTGGTCAAAGGTGGTTGGTTTTGGGTTGAAAGGTTACACCTTCAGATGTTATAAATGTAATTAAATACCTTTTGTTCTCTCTCTTAACCTGTATCCTGCCCATGGAGGAAGGTTGTATGAGTAATTCTAATTTCCTAGGCTTCAAGGCCTCTGGCCTGGTAAGCATCTCCTTGTTAATGCTTTGTCCTGTAAGTGAACCTCAGGATCTATATGCCTAGAATGATGCCTTGTTAATGCTTTATAACTTAAGATTTATGCCTTATGTGAATCCATTCATTGTACAATGTTAATTAAATATCTGCCTTTGATATAGACAATTCTCAGACCAATTATTGCGAGTCAACTCATTGCCTAATGCTTGCTTGTATATTTTAATTATCTTTATGGAGTCAGATAAACATTTGAATAGGCTAATTGCTTCATCTCATTACAAGTTGCATGTGAGGTTTATATACTGTATATACATGTTAAATATTACTGCCCACTACAGCCCTATCGTTCAGGGCAGAGTTTCCCTGGGGATTTTGGAGGGGTTAGAATGATTATAGCATGAGTTAAATACAGGTACTATGCTAGCCATGAGATATTAGCACACAAGACCATTTGAAAAAACAAAGATGTTTATTGAATGGGTAATGGAGCAGATTGCTTTCCTCTCTTTTCAGACAGTGAGGACAGCAGTCCATCTTAGCCTGATCAAACTCTCCCATAAACTAAATCTGTTGACTCATCTGAGTAAGGAAGTGTCACTTTGACAGCAATGACAGGGCGAGCCGCCACTAAGAAGTAACACAAAACTACACAGCCCAGGTAACAAAACAGCATGATGAGAAACAAAAAAAAACTGTGGCCAGTCCCCCCCCTCCCCCTTTTGATGGGCCTACCCCAATCTCAAAGACGTTGCTCTCCCCATGGCTCAATTAGCTCACTCTGGCTATTTACAATTTATCTGGCCTCATCTCGGCCTGGGCGAAGGAGGGGAGGGAGGGGAGTAATGAAATGGAATGTCAGTCGTTGTCTCATGATAGGCTGGGAGGGTGAGGTCCATCGGCTGTAAAGGGGATGTAGGGGTGTTGGCGGGGGGGTATTATTCCTGTGTATCAGTCGTATTTAGGGGTGGGGGGGGGGGGGGGACAAGGCTTGGTTGTTTGTTATTTGTCAGAGGGGTTTATGTGATGGATGACTCCCCCCCCCCCCCCTCTCCTCTCTCCAGCCTTCTGTTCCGTGGGCCACTCGACCGAGGCCAGGGTGGCTGTGACCTCATCCACTCTCCTCTCCTACACAGTCCCATAAAACACCAAGGCTTGACGTCCACGTTACGGCTTCTTCACCTTCTTGATGGACGAGGAGCTGGATGCGGATTCTCTGCGTTTACGCTGGAAAGACACAAAGAAATGCACCAAAGGCTGTCAGCCATTGGTCCAGAACATATATAAGCCTGCCTAATTTCACATGCAACTATGAGAGAATACTAAGGACTGTGCCCATTGCAACATTTCCTAAATGTATTCTCTTTGACAAGTTTTATTCAGCTAACTCCTGTTAGACAGCAGGGTCTTATTCATTAGGATACACTATCAAAACGTATTGCAACGGACAACAAAAACAGGCATTTCTTATTGGACAAGTTCAGGTAGTCCCTCCCGTGTCAGTCTGTTTAATTCCGTTTGGTACCTAATGGTTTGTGTGAGTGGGGTGGACTGAGATACTTACTGAGTTGGGGGTGAGCGGAGCTCCCACCACGTCGATGATCTGCTCCTTGGCCTCGCCCTTGATGTCGTCTGGGCCGGGCCAGGCGGGCACCTCGGGGCCCCCAGGGGCTTCTAGTCCTCCTCCTCCTGGGGGCCCGACGGGGACCCCCCCTCCTCCTCCTCCAGCCTTCAGCAGGGCCTCGTAACGGTGGCGTAGCATCTGTTGTTCGTACTCACAGTTACCGTGGGCCTGCTTCAGCTCATAGACCAGCACCAGGTCACTGCGCAGCTCATTGAACATCTGGACTATCTCCTCCGTGGGCATAGGGTTCAGGTCTACACAGAGAGAGCAGGGTAGGGAAAGAGGATTTACACACACCACTTTATGAGGCCCTGGTGAAGGTTGTGTGGAACCACAATGCATTGGCAGTAACTAAATGGTTTGCCTTGTTTTACTTAACCTACATGGACAAATCAACTTAAAGGCTTTTTAAATCCAACTACCTAGACAGAGTGCCTTGGTCTGTGTTTGCTCTATTCAGATTGGAATGGTAGATGTTATTACCAGACCTGGGTTTAAATACTGAACAAAAATATTAAAACGCAACATGTAGCTCAGGCCTCAACATGTAGCTCAGTTGGTAGAGCATGGCGCTTGCAACGCCAGGGTTGTGGGTTCGATTCCCACGGGGGGCCAGTATGAAAAATGTATGCACTCACTAACTGTAAGTCACTCTGGATAAGAACATCTGCTAAATGACAAATGTAAAGTGTTGGTCCCACATTTCATAAAATATATAAAATAAATAAGAAATAAAAGATTGCATACAGTTTTCATACGCACAAAAAGCTTATTTCTCTCAAATGTTGGTAACAAATTTGTTTACATCCCTGTTAGTGAGCATTTCTCCTTTACCAATATAATCCATCCACCTGACAGGTGTGGCATATCAAGAAGCGGATTAAACAGTATGATCATTACACAGGTGCACCTTGAGCTGGGGATAAGAAAAGGCCACTTGAAGGATCGTGCTGACTGCAGGAATGTCCACCAGAGCTGTTGCCAGATAATTGAAATGTTAATTTCTCTACCATAAGCCGACTCCAACGTCATTTTTGAATTTGGCAGTACGTCCAACTGGCCTCAATCGCAGACCACGCCAGCCCAGGACCTCCACATCCAGCTTCTTCACCAGTGGGATCATCTGAGACCAGCCACCCGGACAGCTGATGAAACTGTGGGTTTGCACAACCAAAGAATTTCTGCACAAACTGTCAGAAACCGTCTCAGGGAAGCTCATCTACGTGCTCGTCATCCTCACCAGGGTCTTGACCTGACTGCAGTTCGTCATCGTCGTAACCGACTTCAGTGGGAAAATGCTCACCTTTGATGGCCACTGGCATGCTGGAAAAGTCTGCTCTTCACGGATTAATCCTGGTTTCAATTGTACCGGGCGAGCAGTTTGCTGATGTCAACGTTGTGAACAGAGTGCCCCATGGTGGCGGTGGGGTTATGGTATGGGCAGGCATAAGCTATGGACAACGAACACAATTTGATTTTATCGATGGCCATTTGAATGCACAGAGATACCGTGACGAGATCCTGAGGCCCATTGTCGTGCCATTCATCCGCCGCCATCACCTTATGTTTCAGCATGATGCACGGCCCCATGTTGCAAGAATCTGTACACAATTCCTGGAAGCTGAAAATGTCCCAGTTCTTCCATGTCCTGCATACTCACCAGACATGCTCTGGATCGACGTGTACGACAGCGTGTTCCAGTTCGCGCCAATATCCAGCAACTTCGCACAGCCATTGAAGAAGAGTGGGACAACATTCCAAAGGCCACAATCAACAACTTGATCAACTCTATGCAAAGGAGATGTGTCGTGCTCCATGAAGCAAATGGTTGTCATACCAGATTCTGACTGGTTTTCTGATCAACGCCCCTACCTTTTTTTAAAGGTATCTGTGACAAACAGATGCATATCTGTATTCCTAGTCATGTGAAATCCATAGATTAGGGCCTAATGAATTTATTTCAATTGACTGATTTCCTTATCTGAACAATAACTCAGTAAAATCATTGAAATTGTTGCATATTGCGTTTATATTTTTGTTTAGTGTATTTAGGTATTTCAATTACTTTGAAAGTCATTTGGAAGTAAGTATTTCAATATTATTTATTTGAAGAAAATACACTGTTTTTGGAAATACACTTAGAAAGTATTTGCATGTATTTGAAAATACTCAAATACACTGACTCAAACACACTCCCATGCTTTTAACCCAGGCCGGTTTGGTATTTGAAATAATGTATTTGGAAATAACTATTTGAAAATACTTCTAACAGAAGTAGTTGAATTGGGCCACATTATTTGAAAATACTCTAATACACAGAAAGTATTTCAATAACAAATAATACACATATATTTGAACCCAGGTCTGGTTGTTACTATAGTGTTTGTGTGAGTCAGAGAGTGCCTTGGTTTGCTTTTTGTAACATTTATGCTGGTAGGTATTATGACTAACTGAACTCACCCACTTCCCTCTCTGTCAGGATCTGGTCAATGGCCTTGATCTTCTTCTGGCCTACCGAGCTCGGCAGCTTCATCTGTAACACACACGCACAGAAAATAATACGTCAGGGTGAATGGCGATAAACGTCCTCACCTCTGACGGTTCATTCGTTTGAAATGCACTTCAGCGGGGCCAATCAAAATGTCTTCATCTGCCCGAGTCTGACAGATTATCTGTGGAGCACTCCACTCCTTTACCCCCAATTCATTTTCCATAGAGAGCAACAGCTCCCCATCAGCCATGGAGATGAATAAGCACCCTCTGGTACGTCTTATAGGCACCCTCTGGTACGTCTTATAGGCACCCTCTGGTACGTCTTATAGGCACCCTCTGGTACGTCTTATAGGCACCCTCTGGTACGTCTTATAGGCACCCTCTGGTACGTCTTATAGGCACCCTCTGGTACGTCTTATAGGCACCCTCTGGTACGTCTTATAGGCACCCTCTGGTACGTCTTATAGGCACCCTCTGGTACGTCTTATAGATATTAGCGTGCCGCTAAATGGCATAAATCATGGTTTTGCTAATGAGAGCAAGGGCTGTGTCCCAAATGTCCCCCTATTCACTAGGGCTGGGAATTGCCAGGGACCTCACAATATGATATTATCACCATACTTAGGTGCTGATACGATATGTATTGCGATTCTATATGTATTGCGATTCGATACTGCGATTTTATTGCGATTCGATGTCCCCAAACACATTGTTCACTATATGTCTGCTGCAGCGAGACAAGAGAGCGCATGAGAAAACAAGTTTTGATCAGTCATGGAAAAAAAAAGTTCTGAAAACATGTTGGCTCACTATTTAAAAAGAAGATGGAGAACAAACTATAGGATGAAAAATACCGGAGTTTTGGCGCAGGTACAGCCGACTAGCGCTAGCTAACGCTATCTAGCAAAAAATCTCAAACGTATTTATATTGTCCAAAAATAAAATTGCGATATATAACGGTGTCGATTTTTTTACCCCATCACTACTATTTACTATGTAGTGCACTACTTTTTAGTAGTGCACTACATTGGGAATAGGGTGCCATTTGAGGGACAGAGCCAGGTCAAACCATGAGCATACATCACATGCTACAGTATGAGACCATACTAGACCAGTAAGTGATCCTTTTAAAATGAAGGGGGAACCATCTAAGCAAACCCATATACAATTCCTATACAGATAATGTGTGACTGATAGTTGTAGTGTATGGCCATGCTTACCCTCTGGCTGCGTAGCGTGACTCCAGCTGATTTGAAGTCAGGGAATTTGATGCCTGCCGTCTCAGGAACAGTCTGGTTGTGGACAGACAGGGAGACAGCAGAGGTGAGCACAGAGACAAGACAAACTAACAAGCAGGGTGGCATCAGGTTCCTTATTAAGAGATTGGGCGAAAGGGAGAGTGTTTTTGTGTGTGTATACCGGTTTCTCCATCTCTCGTTTCAGCGGGAGCTTCTTCTTGGTGGCCTTGCGCTCGGCGCGTCTCATCTCTGTGTTGGTGTCTGCTGCTGTGATGAGCTTCTGCAGGTCCTGGGCCTTCTTCTCACGATCCTTTTTCCTGCTCTCCATCTTCCGCAGCTCCTGCATCAGATACTCCTCTTCTGCCACCTTCAGGGCAAAACGGGGAAGTGCAATGTGAGCGCCGGATTAAAACAGCAGAATGCATTCCCAATTATATAATGGTCTCTGACCTCTGGACATACATTAAATACCTTCACAGCTTGATAGATGCAAATCTACCTATATCACCTGGTCTGTTTCTACTAGGAAATACTTCTAACATTGTATTGTATTCGAATGAAATTGTTCATGTGTGCCCTAACTGCCACCAAAAAGGCAATTAAAAAAGTGGTTTGATCCAAATACTTCTATAAAAATGTATTGAAGAACATACTTTCTGGACGTTATTTTTCTGGCTAAGCTGCATGGCGCAGCTACAAAAACTAGTGGGCTGGTCAAATGACATGTCCACCATCAAACACCTGGGTTAGGTACTGTAGCATCTTTAACTCCTGTTTCAACCCCCACTTCTTGCTCATGTTTTGTTGCTGTGGTAATCATGTGACTGCTATCTCGTTTGATTGGCACTGATAAAAACAACCCCCCCAACATTTTTTTAATTAAAATTAAATAATGTAGGCCTATGCCATATAGCCGTCCTTCTGTCCAAATCGACTTACAATAGTGAGTGTATACTGTCTTAGGTTATGCGATCCCAGTGAGAATCGAACCCACGACCCTGCCGAACTCCGTCCAGGAGTTAGACACCAGATACATCATAGGAATCGAAGGCTGAAAGTAATTGCACCTTAAAGGGATAGTGTGAGATTTTGGCAATTAAGCCCTTTTTCTACTTTAACCCAGAGTCAGACGACCTCATGCTAACCATGAAATTGCTAAGTAGCGTTCGCGCAGTAGCTGTACCCTTAGACTTCCAGTATTTGCGCTAACGCTAGTTAGCAATGGCTCGCAAATCTACTTTCAACTTCCTTCAAACTGCACGCAGAGACATAAAATGGGAACCATGATTTCTTCTGACTCTGGGTAAGTAGAAAACAATTATCTTGCACTATCCCACACTAACAGTGGAATTGTCTTTGGGGCGGTGCTGCTAACCTGATCAGGCGTGCGGTTGAATAATCTCTCCAGCTGCTCTTTCCTGCGCCTCTCGTGACCCGCGTCAAATACGTACATCTTGGGCTCTGTCCCCGTTGCAGCGCGGACCTTGGTCAGCTTACCGCAAATGTTGTAGTAACGTTCCTTCAGGTCCTCTGTTGACCGTTTCTGAAAGCACACATAGAGAAATGTTTCCAGCACGTACAATTATCATGGGAAGACATATTTCACGATGAAGTATCACAATCAAATATTTGCCTCTAAAAAAATCCAATATTCCAATCTAAATGTTTTGAAATATTTGATTCCTTTTCTGGATTCTGATTTGTGGATTCAAATGATGTACAGTGTATTCGGAAAGTATTCAGACCCCTTGACTTTTTCCAAATGTTGTTATGTTACAGCCTTATTCTAAAATGGATGGGAAAAAAATTGTAATCCTCATCAATCTACACACAATACCCCGTAATGACAAAGCGAAAACAGGTTTTAGAAATGTTTGCACATTTATTAAAAATAAAAAACAGAAATACCTTATTTACATAAGTATTCAGACCCTTTGCTATGAGACTCGAAATTGATCTCAGGTGCATCCTGTTTCCATTGATTCTCCTTGGAGTCCACCTGCGGTAAATTCAATTGATAAGGTCCCACAGTTGACAGTGCATGTCAGAGCAAAAACCAAGCCATGAGGTCGAAGGAATTGTCCGTAGAGCTCCGAGGTAGGATTGTGTCAAGGCACAGATCTGGGGAAGGGTACCAAAATATTTCTGCAGCATTGAAGGTCCCCAAGAACACAGTGGCCTCCATCATTCTTAAATGGAAGAAGTTTGGAACCACCAAGACTCTTCCTAGAGCTGGCCGCCCGGCCAAACTGAGCAATCGGGGGAGAAGGGCCTTGGTCAGGGAGGTGACCAAGAACCCGATGGTCATTCTGACAGAGCTCTACAGTTCCTCTGTTGAGATGGGAGAACCTTCCAGAAGGACAACCATCTCTGCACCACTCCACCAATCAGGCCTTTATGGTAGAGTGGCCAGACGGAAGCCACTCCTCAGTAAAAGGCACCTAAAGACCAGGCTCTGTCATGGCCGGCCGCGACCAGGAGACCCATGGGGCGGCGCACAATTGGCCCAGCGTCGTCCAGGGTAGGGGAGGGAATGGCCGGCAGGGATGTAGCTCAGTTGGTAGAGCATGGCGTTTGCAACGCCAGGGTTGTGGGTTCGATTCCCACGGGGGGCCAGCATAAAAAAATTAAAAAATAAAATAATAATAATGTATGCACTCGCTAACTGTAAGTCGCTCTGGATAAGAGCGTCTGCTAAATGACTAAAATGTAAATGTAAGACTCTCAGACCATGAGAAACAAGATTCTCTGGTCTGATGAAACCAAGATTTAACTCTTTGGCATGAATTTCAAGTGTCACGTCTGGAGGAAACCTGGCACCATCCCTACGGTGAAGCATGGTGGTGGCAGCATCATGCTGTGGGGATGTTTTTCAGCGGCTGGGACTGAGAGACTAGTCAGGATCGAGGCAAAGATGAACGGAGCAAAGTACAGAGAGATCCTTGACGCAAACCTGCTCCAGAGAGCTCAGGACCTCAGACTGGGGCGAAGGTTTACCTTCCAACAGGACAACAACCCTAAGCACACAGCCAAGACAACGCAGGAGTGGCTTCGGGACAAGTCTCTGAATGTCCTTGAGTAGCCCAGCCAGAGCCCGGACTTGAACCCGATCGAACATCTCTGGAGAGACCTGAAAATAGCTGTGCAGCAACGCTCCCCATCCAACCTGACAGAGCTTGAGAGGATCTGCAAAGAATGGGAGAAACTCCCCAAATACAGGTGTGCAAAGCTTGTAGCGTCATACCCAAGAAGACTTGAGGCTGTAATCGGTGCCAAAGGTGCTTCAACAATTAAAGGGTCTGAATACTTATATAAATGTTATTTTTCCATTTTTTAAAATTAGCAACCATTTATAAAAACCTGTTTTTTGCTTTGTCATTATGGGGTATTGTGTGTAGATTGAGAGGGGGAAAAAACAATTTAATCAATTTTAGAATAAGGCTGTAACCAAATGAAATGTGGAAAAAGTCAAGGGGTGTGAATCCTTTCCAAAGGCACTGTATGTAGGATGTGTGTGTAATGTCAGACATAGATAGCCTCCTCACTCTGTATTGCTGATGGTCGTAGCGGTCGTGGACGACGATGAAGCGCAGGTCAAAGCGCTTGCACAGGTCAAACAGGTGGTCCGTCTCCGCCTTGGTCCAGCCGTCGTCATGGAGATACATCTGGTACTCCTGCTCCGAGTACACTGGCACCTGCACTGCCTAGAGTGGGGGAGACGGAGAAAGATTTTTGCAATTGCATTGGCAATGAAGCCCCTTTGAATTGAAAGAGAGCGAGACGGGTGGTCACAGAGAGAGAGAGACCAACAGTGATATAGAGAACAATGAAGAGATAAAAACAATGACTGACAGCAGAGAGAGAAACCATTATCTCATTACCTTGTTGAAGCGGGCAAAGGGGTAGTCCTTGCCTTCCTCTGCCATGCGTCTCCAGTGGTGGAAGACGGCTCCGTCTCGGCGGGCTGGGTTGGTGAAGGGCATCCATTTCCAGGGTCGAACCCGCTTACAGCCCAACTTGGCTTTAACTGTCCGGTAGCCCTGAGTGGTGTCACTGGGCAGCAGGGGGGGAGCATCTCTGCTGAGAGACAGGTGGTGGTCAGAATACTAATTCAATGACACGCCCTATTAACGCAGCGATAAAGAAATTAAATTACAAGTAAATACAATTTTATGTGAGATCAGTGTTCAAGTAAATCAAATCTTATTGGTCACACACATACAGTCAAAGGTTTGGACACACCTACTCATTCAAGGGTTTTTCTTTTTACTATTTTCTACACTGTAGAATAATAGTGAAGACATCAAAACTATGAAATTACACATATGGAATCACGTAGTAACCAAAAAAGTGTTAAACAAATCAAATGTTATTTTAAATTTGAGATTCTTCAAATAGCCACCCTTTGCCTTGATGGCAGCTTTGCACACTCTTGGCATTCTCTCAACCAGCTTCACCTGGAATGCTTTTCCAACAGTCTTGAAGGAGTTCCCATATACGCTTAGCACTTGTTGGCTGCTTTTCCTTCACTCTGCTGTCCGACTCATACCAAACCATCTCAAATGGGTCGAGGTCGGGTAATTGTGGAGGCCAGGTCATCTGATGCAACACTCCATCACTCTCCTTCTTGGTAAAATAGCCCTTAAACAGCCTGGAGGTGTGTTAGATCGTCCCACTAAGCCCAAACCAGATGGGATGGCGTATCGCTGCAGAATGCTGTGAGAGCCATGCTGGTTAAGTGTGCCTTGAATTCTAAATTAATCACAGACAGTGTCACCAGCAAAGCACCCCCACACCATAACACCTCCTCCTCCATACTTTACGGTGGGAACTACACATGTGGAGATCATCCGTTCACCCTCACCACGTCTCACGGCGGTTGGAACCAAAAATCGCCAATTTGGACTCCAGACCCAAGGACAGATTTCCACCGGTCTAATGTCCATTGCTCGTGTTTCTTGGCCCAAGCAGGTCTCTTCTTCTTATTGGTGTCCTTTAGTAGTGGTTTCTTTGCTGCAATTCTACCATGAAGGCCTGATTCACACAGTCCCCTCTGAACAGTTTATGTTGAGATGTGTCTGTGACTTGAACGCCGTGAACCATTTATTTGGGCTGCAATGTCTGAAGCTGGTAACTCTAATGAACTTATCCTCTGCAGCAGAGGTAACTCTGGGTCTTCCATTCCTGCGGTGGTCCTCATGAGAGCCAGTTTCATCATAGCACTTGATGGTTTTTGCGACTGCACTTGAAGAAACTTTCAAAGTTCTTGAAATGTTCCGTATTGACTGACCTTCATGTCTTAAAGTAATGATGGCCTGTCATTTCTCTTTGCTTATTTGAGCTGTTCTTGCCATAATATGGACTTGGGTCTTTTACCAAATAGGGTTATCTTCTGTATACCTTGTCACAACACAACTGATTGGCTCAAATGCATTAAGAAGGAAATAAATTCCACAAATTAACTTTTAACAAGGCACACCTGTTAATTGAAATGCATTCCAGGTGACTTCCTCATGAAGCTGGTTGAGAGAATGCCAAGCGTGTGCAAAGCCGTCATCAAGGCAAATGGTGGCTATTTGAAGAATCTCAAATATAAAATATATTTTGATTTGTTTAACACTTTTTTGGTTACTACATGATTCCATATGTTTTTTTTCATAGTTTTGATGTCTTCAATATTATTCTACAATGTAGAAAATAGTAAAAATAAAGAAAAACCCTTGAATGAGTAGGTGTGTCCAAACTTTTGACTGGTACTGTGCGTGTGTATAGTTTGCTATGTGTTTGTGATTCCCCTGCTTGGTGCAGAGACAATAGTCCCCTGTAGCTCAGTTGGTAGAGCATGGCGCTTGCAACGCCAGGGTTGTGGGTTCGTTTCCCACAGGGGGGCCAGTATGAAAATGTATGCACTCACTAACTGTAAGTCGCTCTGGATAAGAGCGTCTGCTAAATGACTAAAATGTAAAATGTACAGAATGTCAAACAATTCAATGGTGAACATGGTGCACCCATGTGCTATCACAAAGGAGAAGTGGTAGAAAAGGGTAATGGGTTTACTAGAGTGTATCCGCTTGAGAGTGTGTCCAAACTTTTGAATGGTAGTGTATTTAGCAGATGTTACTGCGGGTGTAGCAAAATGCTTGTCTTCCTAGCTCCAACAGTGCAATTCACAACCATACACACACACACACACACATCTAAAAGTAAAAGAATGGAGTATTATGGAGGCTATAGTTAATACTCAGCCCAAGAGGCAGGGCAGCCAGACAGAGAGAGTTTGGGTCAAACAGGGTTCCTACTTTTTGTCTGAGTAGAGCAGGGCATACACCTCTCTGTGCATCCCCTCTGGTCTCTTGAAGGTCAACGTTTCGGTCGTTTTCTTGGCCTTTTTCTGTAATGGGGGGATTAAAGGTGAGTGTGCATGCAGATCATCACCTGTGCAATTTAGATGTAAACTATAGACTGTCAGTTGATAGGCTTGTGCTAATGAAACTCAACAATGGACAGTTGGACACAAAGTTGTTCCACACAAGCCACTCTCACAAACCATCAACAGACAGGTCCTCAGCAGAGGGCATCATTCTTACCTTCTCTGAGTTTATGAAATCCTTCTTACTGATCGGCCCATCATTGTCCCCTCCGGCCAACTCCAGAATATCTCTCACATCGGCACCAGCTGCCATGATGACGTGTACTGTAAAGAAGAGTTACTCTGTAATTGTGTGTCAAAGGTATATGTCATCACCTGATAGCTCACATAACTAGCAAGTTAATTACCGTACTTTCTTGGCTAGACATGGCAAGCAAGTAAGCAATGTAGCTAGCTAGCTAATCTCTTTTCAGAGGCTAGTACTCGGTCTTTGCAGAAAGCCAACTTTAGCGGTCTATAATTTATGGATTAATTAGCTAGTTAACATGTGTATTTAAAGAAGATAGCGGTATTTTGTGTAGATAATTTAGCTAGTTAATGCGTCGCTCACGTTGACTAGCTAGCGCTTTCCAACAAATAGGTTAAGCTAGCTACCTAGCCGGCGTTAGCAAATGTTGCCGCGGTAAAGCCCAGCAGGGACATATATATTTATGGAATACTTCATTTTCAACGTAACGGTTTACCTTTTTGGTGAATCCACGCGTCTGTTTTTGTATTTTTAGAGCAAATATTCTGTGAAAGTAGAAGAATTGGCTAGCTAGCTGACCGGCTAACAACAAGCTTGCGTTCAGTGGAAACCGGAAGTAATTATTCTTCGCCAGTAAAGCCACTTCTGTAAGTTTGTCGCCACTTACTGATGTGGAGGGGGTGAACTTGGAACTAAATTATTTTACCGCATAGATAAAATGAAAGATGTAGTTATGTGTGACACAACTTGTGCCATATGTTGTCATATATAATACATGAATACACGTAGAGAAGCAACATGTTAACTGTTTAATTAAAATCTTTATTAAAAACAAGGTTATTATTGTTCTGAACATGCCCCACATTTTCCAAAGTACATTGACATTGGAATGATACTGTGTCACCTTGAAGAAACATTCAGAAAATGATTGGATGTGTTAACAACAAGGATTACATAAAATGAGCATTTTAAAAAAATTTGATTTGAAATACTTGAATACAGAGGAATTCAATAGCAAAAATGAAAAAGAACCAATTTCCTGCAACCTGTCCACTCTATTTTCTCATCTTCCTTGTCCTCTACTTCCTGTTAATTCCACTTGATCTCAGTGGTGTACTCAGAATGAACCACCATGCGCTAGGAGAACTGGTCTGAGTGGCACGGGTAGGCCTGGCCCGCACTACTGTTGACTGGGATTTTGGCTCAGCCAACAGTGAAATCCTGGACATGGAATACATACTCCCCTTCACACATCAGGACAACCTTGTTGAGGTAATGGATGCCGTCCTGATACTCTTCGGGCATCTCCCTGTTATTCTGGGCAGTTAGCGAGACCATTTGCAGCGTTGCACAGCGGAAACCGTTGTTTGAGCATTAATGGTAGCTTTTTGAACAGGGCAAAATAAGCACTGTTGTGTGCAGGGGTGTTGAAGGAGGCACTGAGTCATGGCTTGCCAGTGTAGATCCTGGGTGTGTATTCCATCTATTTATGGAGGAGGTTCCCAAACAGCATCCGGAAGGGCAGCGCATTGAACTGAAAGCCCGGCAACATGCCGGCATTATACCGCTCTAGTTGGTCCATGTACAGTTTAGACTTAGCTTTGAGGTTGAATAAATCTTCAGCAGCGATCATGGCAAAAGGGATGTAGTCCAAAAGGGCGACCTGGTCTTCGTGGGTGGATGAGTTACCCTGATCCAACACCCAGTCCTCCAAACCGTTTAGCAAGAAGGCATCATCTGGCACTACCACTTCTGAACGGGCCAGAAGGGCCTTTAATGTGCCCAGACCAAGACCAGTCCAGGTTGGGGAACGGCTCAGCGACTCACAGTTCCAGGCAAGGTAGTGCAGACAGGTTTCATGCAGAACTGGGTCGCCTGTACAGATGGAGTGCTCGTACAGAGAGATCTGGGTCTGGAAGGAGGCATCCTCTGGGAGCAGCCAGGTGAAGAGCCTCCCTGCCGCCTCCTGGAGCTGCCTCAGACTCCAGTCGGACGCCATCTTGTGGATGCACTGGGCAGAGGACACAGTGATGTTGATCTGCTTTGTGTACAGTGATACCTGGGGAAGAAAGAGATACAAGATACATGGATTCTCTGCCACAATATGGTGAAGAACGGGTTGATGTAATAGCAACTAGGCTAAGGTTTGTAAAGTAGAGCAGGTTGGTGTCACCTTACCTAAGGACATTGGTGAAATGAGGGTGGCAGTTGAGGCTGACGTCTAGGTTGAAGTTACTGGGGTTCTCCTCCTTTGAGACGTTTAAGATGGAGGCCTCTGGATCGAGAGTGTTTTGTTGTTTGCGACCCGCACCATGATGTCAAAGTCACAGTCGCGTCCACTGTCAAACAGCGCCCCTATGTGGTTAGCGAGTCCTGCGTTGTGGTCCAGGGCGTAGACATGGCTGTTATTCTGAGCCTATTCTGATTAAATAAAAAAATATTGATCAACCACATCATATATTGATCAAGCAAATCATATTTTGGATAGCACAAACAGTATATAAACAAAATATCAGAAATGTATCATACATTATCTTCCAATCTAACAGAGCCATTCATTGTAAACCGATGGAGGCTGCTGAGGGAGGACGGCTCATAATAATGGCCGGAATGGAGTGAATGGAATGGTATCAAACATGTTTTCATGTGTTTGATACCATTCCATTCACTCCATTAATACTCCATTCCAGCCATTATTATGAGCCGTCCTCCCCTCAGCAGCCTCCAACGTTGTAAACGGAGCACCTCATTGAGCATGTACTGTCGTCTCTATGAGCATCCCAAAGTGAGCCATGGACCAAAAACTTCTGCTTCTTCAATTTTGTCTTTCAATGATACTGTGTCTGGTCTTTAGGTCTTTGTGGATGAGTCTTTGTGGTCATTGGTCAGTCTTACCTCTCTCACAGACCACACCAGCATCCTCAGCATGTTGGCAGTCAGTGACCCCTCAGCCTTTGAAGAGACAGCGGGACAGGTCTTTCTCTGTCCCTTCAGAGCTTAGATCGTCCATCCAGATAGGTGTACAGAATACAAACGGGTCATGGGTCAATAAAAACAAACAATGAATGTGTGATATTCTGTACCTATGAAAAGATACATATGGGGCCAGTTTCCCAGACACAGATCAAGCCTCCAATGAATCAATCTCCATTGAAATAGCGTTTTAGTCTAGGACAAGGCTTAATCTGTGTCTGGGAAACTGCGATGAGTGGGATACAAGAGAACTCATACAGATCCAACCTACCTTGTCCGTATATTCCACCCACCACGGCAGTGAGAGCACCAGGGTAGTTGAGATGGCGACACACCACCTGTGCCTCAGTAATATCCCAGCTGTCACACACGGTCCCCCACTGTCCCCCACTGTCCATTATAGTAGACCTCCACACGGCCCTCAGAGGACAGCTTACCACCCACCAGCCTCATGGCCCCATTCTGTAGTCAGTCAGTCAAATAGCGAGAAATAGTAATGGTGTCTTTTTGTATGCACTAACTCCGCCATGGTTGTCCTATGAGATAATCTTCGTCAGCTGACGTCACTTTTTGTGATTTGTTAAGTATTTATGTAATTTAAAAAAGCACATAAAGGCTTCATAATTCATAAAGGTCATGTTAACTGACTGATATTATCTCATACAACGAAACGTATAAGATCTCCTAAGCCTGTGTTAACCTCAGACCTTATTTTCGGCGTTCATCCCCAAACCCTATTCTTTCCCCATTCATTTTCCCCAAAGGTATGGGCTGAACGAACCAGAGGTAACTAATTTCCGTTAGATACCAACACAATTGATAATAGTTTCAGTAGGCCCATAGTTCAGTCAATATAATAATGCATTTATATATAATGCTGCCAGTTTAAGAAACACCTTAATTCATACATTCATAAATCCAATGTAAAAAAAGTTGTTAAGCGGTTCAATCCTTTCTCAGTCTAACTCCCATTTGTTGGGCTGTAAACAAATGTAGTTCCCTTGTACATCTGGGATGTCTTTCAGGTAAACACAGGTGGTACGGATGTCTGTGCATTTGATTAATTGAACCTCATTTGAAATGCCAATCTCTTAAAGAATCCCAGAGGCAGTACCTCCTGTCTCTAGGTATCTTATGGTGCATCTTGTTGTCATCACTGGGTCTATAAAAGACCATCCCCTGACCCATGTTGGGTGACCACGACATGGTTTACTCATTTCCATAAGGTACTTCCTGTTTTGGAATGAAAATGCACATATTTTTCAATTGGATGGAAACCTAGCTACTGACAGTCACTCAATTAGCCCATGCTGGTAAACATTTTTCGATTGTTAAATTAGAGTAGTTAGTCTAGCCAGGTATCTAAAATGTGTAGTATTCATGGCCGAATTACTGACTGGGCACGTGCCCAGGGGCCCTGACCCTCCAGGGGGCCCCCATTGATTTTGTTAGTCACTCTCACTCAGATATCATATTAACATGGCACCAGTCATGTGGAGAATTGCAGGAAAATTAGCTGTAAAACTGCAACAAAAAAACAGTTCTGTAAAGCAAACGTATTTGTTTACCTTTTGTTAATAAAATACTTTTTCTGCTAACAGATCCCTCTGTATAGTTTTTAATCCCTGTGCTGAGTTAATGTGTAGCGGATAATTGTATAGCTAATAGACTGTGTTTGTAGATGGACTGAGGTGAATGAAGCTACAGCAACCAATGTGATAATGGCTGGGCTATTTCTTGCTGTTCTCCAAATAGCATTTTATAATTTTTTAATTGTATAGAAAGGCAGTAAATGAGCTTCAACTTTCTTAAGATTTCTATAATATAATTATAAATAAAGTTTCTATTTAAAAAGCCTCTAAAAAATTTGTTTTCTTGGAAAGCTGTGAGTTTTATGATACAATATCAGTACTTGTTTAATTTACAACTTATCTTAGTCCTATCATCAACTGATTTCAATCAGTGTATGGTCATGGCTAGAAAGCATACAGCTTTTGTCAAATTAATGCCAAAAGTAGAATTATTTAGAATTTTAGCGAACACTTTTCCCAACCTTAACCTAATTTTCCTAACCTGCTATGTTAATTATTCTTCTAACCTGTTGCGTAAATTATCCTAACCTGCTACGAAAATTATCCTAACCTGCTACGAAAAGTCAAATCTGACAAAAACGGTATACCATCTAGTCGAAACTTCAGTGTATGGCTGTGGAATGACTGAACTGCTGGAATGGAATGTTGGCAGTTAATTAAAACAAATTATGGAATCATTCCTCTAAAAACGGGCTGGCTAGCTAGTTAACAAACGTACAGTGCAGATAATCTTCAAATTCATTGATTTGCGGAAAATCTTCTCACAGTACTGGCAAAACATGGTTGACCAACTCCCTTACCAAAAAGGCTGACCTTTTATACCATCATAAGTAGTTCTAATTATATTGTGCCCTGTACCAGGAGGGCCGAGGCAACGCTGCTAAGCAACGGTACACACATGGTGTCAACGTACAACGTGAGCCGACTGTGATTTCCAGCTAATGCATGTCGTTTTGGTAGTACACTTACAGCAGGTAATCGATTATTTTCAACAAAGCACTTAACTTTTTAACGTAGGCGTACTTGTGTGCGACTCACTCGATAATATAGCTTGCTAGCTAGGCAGTTGATTCAAACTTCTAAAAGGAGGCTTTTAGCTAGCTACAGTACAGTAGCTAGAATAGTTAGGTATTGTTGCTAGGCTAGTTAGGTCATCCAGCTAGTTAAGTATTTAGCTACTTTTCCCACATCAAAGCTCTGCTTTGCCTTCTCTGTTCGACGGTGTCAAAACTAGTAAGAATGTCAACAAGCAAGGAACAAGCAGCTATCAGTAAAGTGATGAGTTTCCTTCAAGAGTGGGACCATGGCAACAAGACGGTGCGCATCCGCATGCTGACCGTTTTTCTGACTCAAAACACTGGAAAGACTTGCCCTGAGTTAGAACTGGAATTCGCACAGGTTGCCAGTCTCTTTCTGGCTCGGCTCACCGCCTGGATGAGGCTGACGTACCCTTACATAATGCATTTGATGCTGTTAGACAAGCAGTCCAGTCTTATGGAGTCATTCATATCCACATACAAAGTAAGAATGTTTGGAGAAAGGGATGTAAACCAATTTACAAATGTGGTGTATTTTGGCCTTTTCCTTTACTCAAGCTCATTCAGCTACATGTTCGGAACATGCTTAGGTCTTCAACTGAAAGCAGTTGGCGTGTTCCTCTCTGCAGCGAGCAAGTGAGTGGAAAAACATTGTCTGAATTTGTATAGCCAACACATTATAATCCCTTGCACCATAGGTTTTTGTCACATACCCTTTATCTTTCCACAGTCATCGTTATCTCATAGAGTTCCTGGAGGTTGGAGGGGTCCTAACCCTCATGGAGATCTTGGGTCAGAAACAGACAAAGGAGGAGGATAAGGCAGAGGCCCTTCGGCTGCTTCAGATAGTCTCAGACGCTGGACGCAAGTACAAAGAGCTAGTCTGCGAAAGCTATGGTAAACTACTCACCCATCTCTATGATACATACCGCGTTTTTTAGTATACAGTTGGATTTCTAAATTGTTACAGTTCAGCCCAAATTGAAATGATCTATGTAGAGAGAAATTATTCGCTGTTATTGCTCCAAAATGTGTTCAGTTTTTTAGTCTATGATTAAAGACTGATTACAAATTAAATGATTTATTATTATTTGTCAAAGTGCATTTCTCAGACCCAAGGCACAAAAAAATAAATACTAATAAAAAACAATCTAAAACACAGACCATAGAACACAGACAACAATCAAAGCTATATACAGGTGTCACAAGATCCAGAGGACATGAGAACAGAATTAGCAGCCAGAGGTCCTTGAAAACATTTCTGAACAGCATGGTCTTGAGCTGTGCCTTAACCTTTTACTGCTGTGGGATAAATCTGGGTAGTCTTAAACAAATCTACTTTGAAACCAAAGTATACACCTCACACACATGGTTATGGGCTTAAAAAAGAAGACACCTGTACCATGTCAGATATAGAGTTGAAATGTATTCAATTTTGAGTTTGCACCCCAATATTACACTTTATATACATCACAGAACACTGAAATATAACAAAACCGTTTGACATAGAAACACCAGATTTTCGGAAGTTTTTTTTAAATTAATGAAAATTATGAAAATTATTAATAACATTCCACCCATGAGGCCAGTAGTCATTTGACTGCAGGAAAGGGCTACAGGGTGACAGATATTCTGCAGCCCTAATAATGTCTGGAAGTGCGTTCCACAGCTGCGGAGCCGCGCAACTGAAAGCCCTGTCAGCCTAGTTTTTAGTCTGCTGTGGGGCTGCTGAAGGGAGACGGACCTGGAGGAGCGAAGGGTGCGTGTTGTTTGATTGGTTAATTGTTGTTTGATTGGTTCTTAGAACATATCACTGTGTCCTCCCTCCACGTGGCTTGCAGGTGTGAGAGCCATTGCAGAGTGCCTGGCCAAGTCCAAGACAGAGGGGACCCAAGAGACTGCACGGGCCCTGCTGGAGTCCCTGGCACATGGAAACCCCAAATACCAGAACCAGGTGTACAGAGGTCTGATCGCCCTGCTGACCTGTACCTCGCCCAAGGCCCAGCAACTGGTCTTGCAGACCCTCCGCATAGTACAAGTATAACAACACACATACACACAGTCACGCACACTTGCTCACACACACACACACACACACAGGCTCCACGACCATGGGACATAACTGAGAATCCAGCTATGTGTGACCTTGTAATACACAACTGAGTACTGTGGTTTGACTGTATATATGAAGGTAAATGATTGGATATAATTCTGACCCCTAACAGGACATAGTGAAAGCTGCCCATCCCAGCATCGTAGGACCTCTGTTGAATTTGTTGAGGTCCTTGCATTTGGAGGTGCAATATGAGGGTAATTAATAGCTAGGTGGGCGTGTCAACTCTCAGCTATCCAGACAGCCTGTTCTATATCTAATACAGATCTCTTCCATTGACATCTTCAACATCCACTTGTACTTTATGCTGTAGTATCTGATTCCTATAGTATGCAGTATTCTTTTAAAACTCTCCCCCCTCTCCCAGCTATCGAGCTGATCACAGATCTGAGGCAGTATGAGGTCAGACCGGCGCTGCTCAGGGGTCTCGTAGCGCTGCTCAAACCGGCTATGGGGGGAGTGCAGAGACACAAGATCCTGGAAGGTCTCACGTCTTCTCCTTATTGGTTCCTCAGTAAATGAGAGGCAAAGTGATTGGGTAGTTCTCATTGCAACCCACTAAGAGCAACCCCATCTGATGTTTCTTGCTTCAGTTCTAACAGTCCATTTTTTCTTAACATAAGATGTGATATTGCATACGTTTTTTGACATAGTCATCATGCCTCAAGCAATTTAGCTCCTATGAAAATGTTTGTCTCAATAAAACACTAACTGTTATTGATGTGTTGATGTCTATTTCATCAGACCCAGAAATGACCAAGATGACTGAATCCCTGCCAGTGTTTGTCCAACAAGCTGCGGCAGCCAAAGCTTTAAGGTAAAGTCAAAACCCTCATGTATGGGTATCCCTTAGAAATGTCATTCTGACATGGTCTGTGATTTCGCAAAAAACTGTCTGAAACTGAAAGTTAAATGCTATATGTTAGTAGTATCAGCAGCTAATCTGATTTATTTGGCACTCACTTGTTAACATTGAAGCGACTTGCTTGTTATTTTATACTGCCACTCAGCCCATACTTAGCACTTTAAATGTAATGACATACAGATCAGTACAGTTAGTATTAGCCTGTAACGGTAACGTTCATGATCATCATATACCAATGCTGACCGTTTTGACTGTATGTGCTGAAGGTTGCTTGCTCAGGTGAGTCAGGAGCAGTGCCAGGAACTGCTTCCTCTCAGAGTGGTGCACCATTTGATGTACGCTATGGGCAACCAGGAGCACGCTGATGCCCAGAGACAAGCCAGCCTGGCACTGGAGGTAAATCAAATAGGTACACACCAGAGTTGGGGGTTTGAAGGCAGTCAATTCGGGAAGTAAAAAAAAACTACTAAGAAGAATGTTTGAAATAAATATGTTCTACTTTTCAGTTTATTAAGAAATCATTGGGAAAAAATGTACTTTTTTCAATATTGAATTGGAATTAGTTTACTTCCTGAATTGACCCCAACCCTGCTACACACACACACACACACACACACACACATATATATACACACACACACACACACAGTTGAAAAGAAATGCATTTACACATCTAGAATGGCATTAATCTAGAATGCATTTACACGTCTATCATAGTTGTGTGATAGTTTTAATTTTGTAGATTCCAAAGACAACAAAATCACACACAGACCCTGTCTCTCTCTCTTTCTCACACAGGCATTCTGTATACTACCCTGTATATCAGTACAGAGTAAATACTACCCTATATATCAGTACAGAGCAGACACTGCCCTGTATATCAGTACAGAGTAGATACTGCCCTGTATATCAGTACAGAGTAGATACTGCCCTGTATATCAGTACAGAGTAGATACTGCCCTGTATATCAGTACAGAGTAGAATGTAATCACTCAAGCGAAGTCTTATCTCTGCCTCTGTCTCTGTCTTTAGCACTTTGTCCGTACATACCCAGTGGTGGAGGAGCATGTACGCAGAGCCATGGGCATCAATCTGTTTGCAGCCTTCATGGTGAGCTGAAATCTATTTTGGATGTAAGAGTATGCATCTACACTGAACAAAAATATAAACGCAACATGCAAGAATTTCAAAGATTTTACTGAGTTACAGTTCATATAAGGAAATCAGTCAATTGAAATAAATTCAATAGGCCCTAATCTATGGATTTCACATGACTGTAAATACAGATTCATCTGTTGGTCACAGATGACCTTAAAAAAAATAAGTAGGGGCGTGGATCTGGTATCTGGTGTGACCACCATTTGCCTCATGCAGCGCGATACATCAGTTCAACGTCTAGATTGGATTTACATTTGCTTGGTTGTCAACTAACGTGAATTGAACGTAAAAAAATAAAATAAAAATCCCAATGTCATTAGATTAAGGTTTAATTTAAAAAATATATATTTCACCTTTATTTAACCAGGTAAGCCAGTTGAGAACAAGTTCTCATTTACAACTGCGACCTGGCCAAGATAAAGCAAAGCAGTGCGATAAAAACAACAGAGTTACATATGGGGTAGAACAAAACAAAGTAAAAAATACAATATAAAATCTATTATACAGTGTGTGCAAATGTAGCAAGTTATGGAGGTAAGGCAATAAATAGGCTATAGTGCAAAATAATTACAATTAGTATTAACACTGGAATGATAGATGTGCAAGAGATGATGTGCAAATAGAGATACTGGGGTACAAATGAGCAAAATAAATAACAATATGGGGATGAGGTAGTTGGGTGGGCGAATTACAGATGGGCTGCGTACAGGTGCAGTGATCTGTAAGCTGCTCTGACAACTGATGCTTAAAGTTAGTGAGGGAGATAAGAGTCTCCAGCTTCAGAGATTTTTGCAGTTCGTTCCAGTCATTAGCAGCAGAGAACTGGAAGGAATGGCGACCAAAGGAGGTGTTGGCTTTGGGGATGACCAGTGAGATATACCTGCTGGAGCGCATACTACGGGTGGGTGTTGCTATGGTGACCAATGAGCTAAGATAAGGCAGGGGATTTGCCTAGCAGAGATTTATAGACGACCTGGAGCAGTGGGTTTGGCGACGAATATACAGTGGGGGAACAAGTATTGATATGGATTTGGGTTTTCTACTTACAAAGCATGAGTCTGTAATTTTACATAGACATTCACTGTGGAGGATCTAAACAAAATCCAGCACATTGTATGATTTTTAGGTTGATGAATGTTTGGCACACCATCGAATTCCGCTCTCACGATTGTTAGTTTTTTTAAGAACTTGTTCCACTCTTACCGTATAAGACCGGTTTGAACTCGTACCTGTATAAAAGTCCACACACTCATCAAACAGACTAACCTCTACAATGGCCAAGACCAGAGAGCTGTGTAAGGACATCAGGGATAAAATTGTAGACCTGCACAAGGCTGGGATGGGCTACAGGACAATAGGCAAGCAGCTTGGTGAGAAGGCAACAACTGTTGGCCCAATTATTAGAAAATGGAAGAAGTTCAAGATGACGGTCAATCACCCTCAGTCTGGGGCTCCATCCAAGATCTCACCTCGTGGGGCATCAATGATCATGAGGAAGGTGAGGGATCAGCCCAGAACTACACGGCAGGACCTGGTCAATGACCTGAAGAGAGCTGGGACCACAGTCTCAAAGAAAACCATTAGTAACACACTACGCCGTCATGGATAAAAATCCTGCAGCGCACGCAAGGTCCCCCTGCTCAAGCCAGCGCATGTCCAGGCCCGTCTGAAGTTTGCCAATGACCATCTGGATGATCCAGAGGAGGGATGGGAGAAGGTCATGTGGTCTGATGAGACAAAAATAGAGCTTTTTGGTCTAAACTCCACTCGCCGTGTTTGGAGGAAGAAGAAGGATGAGTACAACCCCAAGAACACCATCCCAACCGTGAAGCATGGAGGTGGAAACATCATTCTTTGGGGATGCTTTTCTGCAAAAGGGACAGGACGACTGCACCGTATTGAGGGGAGGATGGATGGGGCCATGTATCGCGAGATCTTGCCCAACACCCTCCTTCCCTCAGTAAGAGCATTGAAGATGGGTCGTGGCTAGGTCTTCCAGCATGACAATGACCCGAAACACACAGCCAGGGCAACTAAGGAGTGGCTCCGTAAGAAGTATCTCAAGGTCCTGGAGTGGCCTAGCCAGTCTCCAGACCTGAACCCAATAGAACATCTTTGGAGGGAACTGAAAGGTGCGACAGCCCCGAAACCTGAAGGATCTGGAGAAGGTCTGTATGGAGGAGTGGGCCAAAATCCCTGCTGCAGTGTGTGCAAACCTGGTCAAGACCTACAGGAAATGTATGATCTCTGTAATTGCAAACAAAGGTTTCTGTACCAAATATTAAGTTCTGCTTTTCTGATGTATCAAAGACTTATGTCATGCAATAAAATGCAAATGAATTACTTAAAAATCATACAATGTGATTTTCTGGATTTTTGTTTTAGAATCCGTCTCTCACAGTTGAAGTGTACCTATGATAAAAATTACAGACCTCTACATGCTTTGTAAGTAGGAAAACCTGCAAAATCAGCAGTGTATCAAATACTTGTTCTCCCCACTGTATAGTGAGGGCCAGCCAACGAGAACGTACAGGTCACAATGGTGGGTAGTATATGGGGCTTTGGTGACAAAACGGATGGCAGTGTGATAGACTACATCCAATTTGCTGAGTAGAGTGTTGGAGGCTATTTTGTAAATGACGTCGCCGAAGTCAAGGATCGGTAGGATAGTCAGTTTTACGAGGGCATGTTTGGCAGCATGAGTGAAGGAAGCTTTGTTGCGAAATAGGAAGCCGATTCTAGATTTAACTTTGGATTGGAGATTCTTAATGTGAGTCTGGAAGGAGAGTTTACAGTAACCAGACACCTAGGTATTTGTAGTTGTCCACATACACTAGGTCAGACCCTTCGGGAGTAGTGATTCTAGTCGGGTGGGCGGGTGCCAGCAGCGTTCGATTGAAGAGCATGCATTTAGTTTTACTAGTGTTTAAGAGCAGTTGGAGACTACTGAAGGAGTGTTGTATGGCATTGAAGCTCGTTTGGAGGTTTGTTAACACAGTGTCCAATGAAGGGCCAGATGTATACAAAATTGTGTCATCTGCGTAGAGGTGGATCTGAGAGTCACCAGCAGCAAGAGCGACATCATTGATATACACAGAGAAAAGAGTCGGCCCAAGAATTGAACCCTGTGGCACCCCCATAGAGACTGCCATAGGTCCAGACAACAGGCCCTCCGATTTGACACATTGAACTCTATCTGAGAAGTAGTTGGTGAACCAGGCAAGGCAGTCATTTGAGAAACCAAGGCTATTTAGTCTGCCAATAAGAATGCGGTGGTTGACAGAGTCGAAAGCCTTGGCCAGGTCGATAAAGACAGCCCTTATGTTGCTGACTTTTTGGAAATCAAATCAGTTTCCCACGTTGATTCAATGTCATCAGATCGATTTTGGGGGGTTGGAATTATGTGGAAACAACGCTGATTCAACCAGTTTTTGCCCAGTGGGTACACACCTGACACACAGCAGACTCAGGGACATCCATTCTGTTGAAAGTTATGCCTCTGTCTCGAACAGACCTGCCATAAGTGAATGCTTCCATACTGGCACGCAGCCTGGCTGACGTGACTCGCGTGACCCACAGCAGAAGGAGGGCTCTGACACGCTGGTTGGACAGAAGGCCATTGTAAATGCAGTGTGTGCGCAGAGTTGTCCTTATTTTTGCTGAGCATTGATTGATTCTCTCAAACATTTTTTATTTCCTGGGGGGTTGAGATGAGACTTCACGTTGTTTGGATTTGAAAATCCAACAGTTGTATTGGAAAGGGGCGGCGCTCGGGGGCTGTGTGTGGTTGTCCATGTTGGTTTGAGTGTGAAAGACACAGAGGAGAACCAATCAGGAAAAACCACATCCCATTCATTACCGACGCATTGTGCCGAGTCTCGACAACATCAAAATAGCCTTTCTAGACACAGAAGTCAGGAGTACTTCTGGTTAGGTGTTAGCCAGACTAACTGGCACTGGCTAGTGGCCAACTGGTTTTAGCAATGATGTACAGTGGGGGAAAAAAGTATTTAGTCAGCCACCAATTGTGCAAGTTCTTCCACTTAAAAAGATGAGAGAGGCCTGTAATTTTCATCATAGGTACACGTCAACTATGACAGACAAAATGAGATTTTTTTTATCCAGAAAATCACATTGTAGGATTTTTAATGAATCTATTTGCAAATTATGGTGGAAAATAAGTATTTGGTCAATAACAAAAGTTTCTCAATACTTTGTTATATACCCTTTGTTGGCAATGACACAGGTCAAACATTTTCTGTAAGTCTTCACAAGGTTTTCACACACTGTTGCTGGTATTTTGGCCCATTCCTCCATGCAGATCTCCTCTAGAGCAGTGATGTTTTGGGGCTGTCGCTGGGCAACACAGACTTTCAACTCCCTCCAAAGATTTTCTATGGGGTTGAGATCTGGAGACTGGCTAGGCCACTCCAGGACCTTGAAATGCTTCTTACGAAGTCACTCCTTCATTGCCCTGGCGGTGTGTTTGGGATCATTGTCATGCTGAAAGACCCAGCCACGTTTCATCTTCAATGCCCTTGCTGATGGAAGGAGGTTTTCACTCAAAATCTCACGATACATGGCCCCATTCATTCTTTCCTTTACACGGATCAGTTGTCCTGGTCCCTTTGCAGAAAAACAGCCCCAAAGCATGATGTTTCCACCCCCATGCTTCACAGTAGGTATGTTGTTCTTTGGATGCAACTCAGCATTCTTTGTCCTCCAAACACGACGAGTTGAGTTTACCAAAAAGTTATATTTTGGTTTCATCTGACATTCTCCCAATCCTCTTCTGGATCATCCAAATGCACTCTAGCAAACTTCAGATGGGCCTGGACATGTACTGGCTTAAGCAGGGGGACACGTCTTGCACTGCAGGATTTGAGTCCCTGGCGGCGTAGTGTGTTACTGATGGTAGGCTTTGTTACTTTGGTCCCAGCTCTCTGCAGGTCATGCACTAGGTCCCCCCGTGTGGTTCTGGGATTTTTGCTCACCGTTCTTGTGATCATTTTGACCCCACGGGGTGAGATCTTGCGTGGAGCCCCAGATCGAGGGAGATTATCAGTGGTCTTGTATGTCTTCCAATTCCTAATAATTGCTCCCACAGTTGATTTCGTCAAACCAAGCTGCTTACCTATTGCATATTCAGTCTTCCCAGCCTGGTGCAGGTCTACAATTTTGTTTCTGGTGTCCTTTGACAGCTCTTTGGTCTTGGCCATAGTGGAGTTTGGAGTGTGACTGTTTGAGGTTGTGGACAGGTGTATTTTATACTGATAACAAGTTCAAACAGGTGCCATTAATACAGGTAACGAGTGGAGGACAGAGGAGCCTCTTAAAGAAGAAGTTACAGTCTGTGAGAGCCAGAAATCTTGCTTGTTTGTAGGTGAACCAAATACTTATTTTCCACAATAATTTGCAAATAAATTCATAAAAAACCTACAATGTGATTTTTCTGGCGAAAAAATCTCAATTTGTCTGTCATAGTTGACGTGTACCTATGATGAAAATTACAGGCCTCTCATCTTTTTAAGTGGGAGAACTTGCACAATTGGTGGTCCTGCCAGCCAGGACCTCTATACCAGGCGTTGTCAGAGGAAAGCCCTCAAAATTGTCAAAGACTCCAGCCACCCTAGTATAGACTGTTCTCTCTGCTACCGCACGGCAAGCGGGTACCGGAGGCCAAGTCTAGTTCCAAAATACTTTTTTCCAGTGGTGGGGGAGTGCCAAGATGGAGGCACGGTGGCTTCAACACAGCACTCCCTACTCATTCAACGGTTTTCTTTATTTGGACAATTTTCTACATTGTAGAATAATAGTGAAGACATCAAAACTATGAAATAACAGATGGAATCATGTAATAAGCAAAAAAGTGTTAAACAAATCAAAATATATATTTATATTCTTCAAAGTAGCCACCCTTTGCTGAGCACATGTTGGCTGCTTTTCCTTCACTCTGTGGTCCAACTCATCCCGAACCATCTCAATTGGTTTGAGGTCAGGTGATTGTGGAGGCCAGGTCATCTGATGCAGCACTCCATCACTCTCCTTGGTAAATATAGCCCTTACACAGCCTGGAGGTGTGTTTTGGGTCATTGTCTTGTTGAAAAACAAATGATAGTCCCATTAAGCGCAAACCAGATGGGACGGCGTTTCGCTGCAGAATGCTGTGGTAGCCATGCTGGTTAAGTGTGCCTTGAATTCTAAATAAATCACAGACAGTGTCACCAGCAAAGCCCCATCACACCATCACACCTCCTCCTCCATGCTTCAAGGTGGGAACCACACATGCAGAGATCATCCATTCACCTACTCTGCGTCTCACAAAGACACAGCGGTTGGAACAAAAAACCTCAAATTTGGACTCCAGACCAAAGGACAGATTTCCACCGGTCTAATGCCCATTGCTCGTGGTTCTTGGCCCAATTAAGTCTCTTCTTATTGGTGTCCTTTAGTAGTGGTTTATTTGCAGCAATTCGACCACGAAGGCCTGATTCACGCAGTCTCCTCTGAACAGTTGATGTTGAGATGTGTCAGTTACTTTTATTTATTTGGGCTGCAATCTGAGGCTGGTAACTCTAATGAACGTATCCTCTGCAATAGAGGTAACTCTGGGTCTTCCTTTCCTGTGGTGGTCCTCATGAGAGCCAGTTTCATCATAGCGCTTGATGGTTTTTGCGACTGCACTTGAGAAAACTTTCAGATTTCTTGAAATGTTCCGTATTGACTGAACTTCATGTCATAAAGTAATGATGGACTGTCGTTTCTCTTTGCTTATTTGAGCTGTTCTTGCCATAATATGGACTTGGTCTTTTACCAAATAGGGCTGTCTTCTGTATACCACCCCTACCTTGTCGTCACAACTCAACTGATTGGCTCAAACACATTAAGGAGGAAAGAAATTCCACAAATTAACTTTTAAGAAGGCACACCTGTTAATTGAAATGCATTCCAGGTGACTACCTCATGAAGCTGGTTGAGAGAATGCCACGAGTGTGCAAAGCTGTCATCAAGGCAAAGGGTGGCTACTTTGAAGAATCTCAAATATATTTTGATTTGTTTAACACATTTTTGGTTACTACATGATTCTGTGTGTTATTTCATAGTTTTGATGTTTTCACTATTATTCTACAATGTAGAAAACAGCAAAAATAAAGAAAAACCCTGGAATGAGTAGGTGTGTCCCAACCTTTGACTGGTGCTGAATATAAATAATTGGGTCTGTGTCTTCACTTTGAGATGAGAATGCATTCTGTTTTACTTTTGTAAAAAAAAAATATAATAATTGTTTGCTTCTCTACAATTTTTTAGCACAAAGCTGAGACTCTCTACATGAAGATGGATGAAATCCAAGCAGATATCCTGCTATCAAATAAAGTCAACATTTCAGAAGGTAACAGTCTGCTAGTAATTGCCATCTTGGAGGTATGAGAGTCTCTTCAGTTTTGTGATAGTTCTGTAAGTAAAGCTTGGATCCCTAAGCCTCACATCATTAATAATACTTTATCTAGTTTATACTGTATATTACTTTAACTCTCCATTACAAAATAGAATCCCAAATTAATGTCTCATCTTTTTATTTACAGTTCTGGAGCACCAGAGCTCAGAAGACTGAACCAAACAAAGTACAGGCATGCCATTTTGTACAACAAACATTTGATGCTTTATTTTCATGTTACAGTAAAATAAATCAATAAAAATAACAAAAAGTACTCAGCCCAATTGCTTGGTGTTGGAGTCGTGCTTGGCCACGCAGTCATGGGTGAACAGGGAGTACAGGAGGGGACTGAGCACGCACCCCGAGGGGCCCCCGTGTTGAGGATCAGCGTGGCAGATGTGTTGTTACCGACCCTTACCACCTGGGGGCGGCCTATCAGGAAGTCCAGGATCGAGTTGCAGAAGGTGTTTAGTCCCAGGGTCCTTAGCTTAGTGATGAGCTTTCAGGGCACTATGGTGTTGAACGCTGAGCTGTAGTCAATGAATAGCATTCTCAGGTAGGTGTTCCCTTTGTCCAGGTGTGAAAGGGCAGTGTGGAGTGCAATAGAGATTGCATTATCTGTGAATCTGTTGGGGCGGTATGCAAATTGGGGTGGGTGCAGCGTTTCTGCGATAATGGTGTTGATGTGAGCTATGACCAGCCTTTCAAATTACTGCATGGCTACAGACGTGAGTGCTATGGGTCGGTAGTCATTTAGGCAGGTTACCTTAGTGTTCTTTGGCACAGGGACCATGGTGATCTGCTTGAAACATGTTGGTATTACAGACTCAGTGAGGGACAGGTTGAAAATGTCAGTGAAGACACTTGCCAGTTGGGCAGCGAATGCTCAGAGTACACGTCCTGGTAATCCATTAGGCCCTGCGGCCTTGTGAATGTTGACCTGTTTAAAGGTCTTACTCACATCGGCTACGGAGAGCGTAATCACACAGTCGTCCTGAACAGCTGATGCTCTCATGCATGCTTCAGTGTTGCTTGCCTCGAAGCGAGCATAGAAGTGATTTAGCACGTCTGGTTGGCTTGTGTCACTGGGCAGCTCACGGCTGTGCTTCACTTTGTAGTCCGAAATAGTTTGCAAGCCCTGCCACATCCGACGAGCGTCGGAGCCGGTGTAGTATGATTCAATCTTAGTCCTGTATTGACGCTTTGCCCGTTCGATGGTTCGTCGGAGGGCATAGCGGGATTTCTTATAAGCGTCCGGGTTAGTGTCCCGCTCCTTGAAAGCGGCAGCTCTACCCTTTAGCTCAGTGCAGATGATGCCTGGTTGGGGTATGTACGTACGGTCACTGGGGATGACGTCGTCGATGCACTTATTGATGAAGCCAGTGACTGATTTGGTGTACTCCTCAATGCCATCGGAAGAATCCCGGAACATATTCCAGTCTGTGCTAGCAAAACAGTCCGGTAGCTTAGCATCTGCGTCACATGACCACTTCTGTATTGAGCGAGTCACTGGTACTTCCTGCTTTAGTTTTTGCTTGTAAGCAGGAATCGGGATGATAGAATGATGGTCAGATTTGCCAAATGGAGGGTGAGGGAGAGCTTTGTACGCGTCTCTGTGTGTGGAGTAAAGGTGGTCCTCTGGTTGCACATTTAACATGCTGGTAGAAATTAGGTCAAACGGATTTAAGTTTCCCTGCATTAAAGTCCCCGGCCACTAGGAGCACCGCCTCTGGATGAGCATTTTCTTGTTTGCTTATGGCCCTATACAGCTCGTTGAGTGCGGTCTTAGTGCCAGCATCGGTTTGTGGTGGGAAATAGACAGCTACGAAGAATATAGATGAAAATTCTCTTGGTAAATCGTGTGGTCTACAGCTTATCATGAGATGCTCGCCTGAGGTAGAGTAAAACCTTGAGACTTCCTAAATATTAGATTTCGTGCACCAGCTGTTATTTACAAATATACACAGACCGCCACCCCTTGTCTTACCAGAGTTAGCTGTTCTATCTTGCCGATGCACTGAAAACCCAGCCAGCTGTATGTTATCCATGCCGTCGTTCAGCCACGACTCTGTGAAACATAAGATATTACAGTTATTAATGTTCCATTGGTAGGATATTCTTGATCGGAGCTCATCCATTTTATTATCCAATCATTGTACATTGGCTAATAGGACTGATGGTAGTGTGAGATTACCCAGTCGCCGTCGAATCCTTACAAGGCACCCTGACCTACGACCCCAGTATCGCTGTCTATTCTTCATGCGAATGACAGGGATTTGGGCCTTGTCGGGTGTCTGAAGTAAGTCCTTCGCGTCCGACTCGTTAAAGAAAAAATCTTCGTCCAGTACGAGGTGAGTAATCGCTGTCCTGATATCCAAAGAAGCTCTTTTCAGTCATAAGAGACGTTGGCAGAAACATTATGTACAAGATAAGTTACAAATAAAACGAAAGAACACACACAATAGCACAATTGGTTAGGAGCCCGTAAAACGGCAGCCATGTCCTCCGGCGCCATTAAGGAGCTCTACGGACAATTCCTTCGACATCATGGCTTGGTTTTTGCTCTGACATGCACTGTCAACTGTGGGACCTTATATAGACAAGTGTGTGCCTTTCCAAATTATGTCCAATCAGTTGAATTTACCACAGGTGAACTCCAATCAAGTTGTAGAAACATCTCAAGGATGATCAATGGAAACAGGATGCACCTGAACTCAATTTCGAGTCTCATAGCAAAGGGTCTGAACACTTATGTAAATAAGGTATTTCTGTTTTTCATTGTTAATAAAAACCTGTTTTCATTTTGTCATTACGGGGTATTGTGTGTAGATTGATGAGGAAAACATTTTATTTAATCAATTTTAGAATAAGGATGTAATGTAACAAAATGTGGACAAAGTCAAGGGGTCAGAATACTTTTCGAATGGACTGTATTAGTGTTTTATATTTCATACATTATTTATAAAATGTTAGCATTTTTCTTCCACTTTGACATTACAGAGTATTTTGTGTAGATCATTGACCAGAAATGACAATTAAATCCATTTTAATCCCACTTCGTAAAACAACAAAATGTGGAAAAAGTCAAGTGGTGTGATTACTTTCTGAAGGCATCATCACAACATCAAACTTTAAACCATGTTTTTGGGGTTTTGGGGGTTTGGCCTGAAACTAATAGCTATGGAAGAAGGCCAATTTAAACACATGTTATGAATGTGATCCAAACATAATCTCCACTGCTTGCTTATATTTGTATTTGTACATGTTTTTGGTTCTTTCAAAGGTAGATCCCCCAATAGACCCTAATAGACATATTGCTCTGTCTTGGTGTGCTGTGTGGACTCCTATTGTTGGGCCTTGCAGGCTTTGGTGCCAGCTCTATGTACTTGTTTAATATTGCAACCTATACTTACTACATTCACACTCACAAATAGGCCTACATGTATGTGTTTCTAAAGTCATTTGTTTATTTTTAAATGGTTTTACCTATAGCAATAGGTGAACCAGAGCTTACCGATGCTCAATTAGCCAAGCTATGGAATAGTATTAGTACCCTGATCAACCAAAACAACCAGTTGAAAAAGAAAAGGGACACACTTCAGGAAGAAAAAACTATACTGATTAAGGAAAAATACTTACTCCAGACTGCAGTTGATTCCAGGTTAAAAGACAAGACGAAGCTAAGCAGTGAGATGAGCAAACTCAAGAAAGTCCTAACCAGTTCATTGGAATTGACCGTTGTATTGTATTGACCAATGAGATAGAACAGCTTCAGAAACACATTGAACCTTTAACCAAAGAAAAGGAGAAGTCGTTAAGCGAAAAATACACTCTTCAGACAGAATTTGATGCAATAAAAAACCTCAGTTTTCAGTTATGTCAAGACAAAGATGAGACAAAGGAAGAACATACCCAACTGAAAAGAGAGAGATCATCTTCTGCCTAAAGTCAATAAAGGTGACTGAAGAAAAGGAGATGTTGAAAGATCTGAAGGACACTTGAGATAGACCTTGATAATGTGATTACACATAGGGACCAACTTCTAGTGGACCTGAGCAATGGCACTGATCAGAACACTACCTTAATCAGTGAGAGGGATACTATTTTCTTCACAATCAAAAACAAACAAGATGAAAAGAGTTCAAACTGCTTTCAGCTCCCTATTCACCTAAATCCCCCAGATGTCTCTTTATTGTAACGTCACCTCATGGGGTAGGCTAAGTAAAGGGCCTCCTGTATTTAATATGGGAAACTCAGATATTATTAACTTTATATGTCCATAAACACCCATTGTATATGCCTTTCTTCATTTTTTGTTCTTTCAAAATGTACAGTTTTACTGCAACTGTCATAACAGCGTTTTAACAGAGTGAGTTTATGTATTGTTTTTCTTTTCCTCCATGGCTCATGCAGTGTGCCAGAGCTGTCCAGGTGAAACATGTCTCCAAAGGTTACTATTTTTCCAAAGAGACCATGAACTGGCAATCCAGCCATAACTACTGCATCTAACAGGGGAGAGAGCTGGCAATTGTGGTGTCAGGTAGGCTACTGAACACACTGTAATAGCGGATGAGTATATTTTAACTAAACACTATCAAGTTCAAACTATCTTACACTTTTTTTCTGCCATCATATACTTGTTTTTTTAAAAAGATAAAGTGTGAAACTAAACTGCCCTGGGCCGCTTTCCCGATATCGATGGAACTTCGGCATACAGGTGTTTTAATTATGCATCTTAAAAATAATGTCCGAAGATGTCACACCCGTTTCCCAGATCAGAGTAGGGATGACCAGGGATGCTCTCTTGATAAGTGCATGAATTGGACCACGTTCCTGTCCTGCTAAGCATTCAAAATGTAATGAGTACTTTCGGGTGTCATGGAACATTTATGGAGTAAAAAGTGCATTATTTTCTTTAGGAATGTAGTGGAGTAAAAGTTGTCAAAAATATAAATAGTTAAGTAAAGTACAGATACCAAGAAAAACTACTTAAGTAATACTTTAAAGTATTTTGACTTAAGTACATTACAACACTGTCAGTCTGTCTGTCTTGTATGAAGTCAACTTGATTTGGGGCGGCAGGTAGTGTAGCGGTTGAGAACATTGGGCCAGTAACCGACAGGTTGCTGTCTCGAATCCCTGAGCCGACTAGGTGAAAAATCTGTCTGTGGCCTTGAGCAAGGAACTTAACTCTAATTGCTCCTGTAAGTGACTGGATAAAAGTGTCTGCTAAATGACAAAAACTTA